GCCGATATTTGTGTAGATTGAAAAAAAAACAGTATGATTCTTAAAATAAATTTAGTTACAATAATTCTAACAAAGATAGGAAGTTGAAACACTTAAATTAATAATATATTTAAAAAAATATTATTTATAAATATTTTTGAAAATAAACACCTTAAACAATTCAGAATAATAAGTTGATTGTAATGAATCATATAAAAAACAATCATTTATATAGATATATATATATAGACTTTCTATTTATGTTTAATTTTTTCAACAATTGATTACTTTATGAACAAAATATCCCATTCCAACAGTATCCATATGCAATTTAAATTTATAAATCCGTAAGAAATAATAAAAAATTGAAAGTTAAACACATTATTATGGATTTGCCATTTTTGCACTCACATTAATTCTTGATTTTAATTTATAAATTATGCGTTTTTTAGCTTAGCCAATATAAGTTAAATATATCTGACCTGCTAGATTACTTTAATAATATTTATTTATTCCCTAAAATTGATAACACTATTTATTACAAAAAATATTCCCAATCTGTACAAATCTTTTTTTTTGCATTTACAAAAAATAATTGCTGATTTTTCGGTTTATATTCAAAGTATGAAACCATCATTATTATTAACATAAGTAGAATTAGAAATTTTGCATCAGAAACAATTAATTCCTTATTAAACTTATGCAATTAATGTATTAATTTTTGAATCACCTTCATAACATGAATCATTGTATTTTGAAAATGTTATAAACAATTAGAATATAAAGACACATTAAGTACAATTATCAAAATCAAATTCATGATTCTAACATAGGGTTGCTGCTTAATTAATATTAATATGATTCATCAATGTAGTATCCATTGTTACAAACACATATAATTAATTGCTTTTAATGTATGAGATGAGCAGAAAAAAACAAAACATTATGAACCTGATAAATATTAACCAATATCACATTTGTTTTAACATTTCTTTCATATGATAATTAAACATACACTTCCTATTATAAGTTAACTATCTACACAGATTTAACATATTGTATAAATATTTAAAATTCTATAATTTATTCTCATATTATAAGATACTATAATATACACTTTTACAACTAAAAATACTATTTAACCTATAATCCTCAACTGTATGTGCTTCATGATCATAGAACTGAACAATTCAACAAATTAATAG